TTAAATTACTCTTGGGAATTAAAATCCCTGAATCATTCTGCTGACTAGTGATGACTCAGGATGTGGTGCTTTGAGGCCTGTTCCCAGAATGGCTGCCAAGTCCAGAAGTTCTGTGTTACGCTAAGATACAGCTCTCTTGCCCTTGCTGCAACATCTGCAATAGGTGACACTGAGGTAGACTCTGGGCTGAGAGTCCCTATATATGTTTTATGGAGGCTGGACAACATTATACAAAGATTGTAGACTGGGATGCATATACTGGACATTTTTCCTTGCAGTAAAAGGATGGTCTTGGCCTACATATTTATCACAACAGATAGAGAACAGTAATCTTCACTTCTTTTACAGTTTTGTGTTTTCTACTGAATATAATTAAGGAATGAAATCATGTCAAATTCAGGTCAGAGATTAAATACTGTAATGGTCCCTGGCTTTTTCTTCCCTGCCTTTCTCTCTTCCCTATTTCTCTGTGGGTTGAAGTTGGGCCAGTCAATTCTTGCTGGTGTGGCCAGGGTCAATTTCTCAATGCATTTGGTCTTTCCCCATGGCTCAGGAAAAAAAGATTAGAACATGGCACTGTAGGTCCTTGCAGTAAAAACCATATGGTCTTCCACCTTGGCTTTCATGGCAAGGCAGAGCTTCTCAAATTAGAAGGCACATCTCCTGTCCCTCACTATTTCACAAATTTGTTAATTCACACTGAAGAGGCGGCACTTGGAAGAGAAGTATGTTTGGGTAAGACCTGAAGTATAGATCTATGTCTAGTGGCCTTTTCTAGTAAATTTTGCCTTTTTGTGTAACTTGTAACAGATAGGTTTGTTATTTTCCATTCTGGCAAGAGTGGCAGATTTCTAGGCTAAGTGTGGAGAGTGAAGGGTAAATTTGATTCACCAACTGAGGAGGTCTATCACTTTGCAAATGCTGTGTTTGGTCCTGACAAGGTTATCTTTTTTTTTTTAAATTAGATTATATTTTAAAAATAGGATAAAGAATTATATACTTCTCATATTTGCACATAAGTCCAAAAATCTCACCATATACAACTTTGAAGCAGGATAGTCCCACATTATTCCTTTTCCTGTCTCTTGCTTTCATTCACCACCCCCTTTTTCTTGAACATCCACCTACCCGAGAGACATCATAGCAGCAACTGGCATGTCATCACAAGCCGCCCATATTCAGAATACCAGAATGACAGGCACTCCAAACCTGAAACTACTATTACAAATTACCAACAAGGTTATCTTAACAAGCAATGGATTTTGTTGCTGGTGTCTTTATGACCGTACACCCATTCTGAGTCTTGACTCAGGTAAGGGTAAGGAACAAAGGCAGAGAGACAGCTGACTTACTGCTGTGTGTGCCACATTTTATTTTTATTGTTTCACTGTTTGGTCTGAGTTCAGATAATAGTTCATGTGCTTTTCAGTAACAGCTGATTTTCTGTGAAATTCTTATTCCATAAGGACACAACTGTAGGAGTTGACTATCTGGTAGACTACCTTGCGTCTTGTGTGGGTGAGTACCTGGCTGAGGAAAGAGATGGGAGAAGCTGACTCTTCACTTCAGGAGGAAAATCAGCCATGGCACTTCTGAGCCAATAGTTACACTTTACCTTCTTGCTCAGCAAAAGTAGGGCAAAATTTTTCTTAATTCAAGAGTGTCAGATAGGACAACCCACTCGGGACCCCTCCTGTCTCTTAGGAGCTATTGCTATTTTCCTTTATTTTCTCCAGTAAATTCCTCTGCTCTTAAAAAAAGTGTCAGATAGTTTTGAGTGAGATTCTAAAAAAGAGGAAATTGTTTATAAGAATCCACTGGGTTATGAGGTTTACTTCTGGAGTGTAGGAAGGAGATATTTTAGAGGAGCGTACAAAAAAGGTCCACACATTCACTTGGGGATGCTCTTTTAAAAAGAGCATTTCCTAGATTATAGAATCTTGACAGTGTTAATTTTTAGAATTTGATCATTACAAGTGACAGAATTCAATAAGGGCTACTTTGTTCTACCACAACCAGGAACCAAAAAGGTTTGTTGATATTTTGGAGGGGCTGAATTGTTGGGTGCTCTGGTTACTGTTTTCCTTGCAATAACTGATGTCCTGTTGCATTTGTCATTTTTAAAAAATGTATTTAGTACAGGATCTACAGGGTCTACAGTGTTTCACTACACAGTTCGGACTTGTAGTGAACCTTCTGTTTTCAGCCCCCCGAGCACTGGGATTACAGGCGCATGCCACCACACCCAGTCTCAGTGCACCCTGGGGATAGGGCTGCATGGCACAAGGGGATTGAACCTCGGTCCCTGCATCTGCTTTAGCAGGTGTTTTAATCTGCTGAGCTATCTGGCTGTCCCTTGTATTTGTTTTAAAACCCTAGCATTTTTCCGTAAAGCAAGATTGCTGTGGATTCTGTTATCTTTTTGGTTGAGTTACTTCAACAAAAACAAGTTTTAATGTGTGGTGAAAATTCTATATCTATCTATCTATCTATCTATCTATCTATCTATCTATCTATCTAGTTGGTCCTATGTGTTTATGGTTTTGCATCTATGGATTCAATCAAATTGAAAGTATTTGAAAAAAAACTACATTTGTATTGAATATGTGCAGAAATTTCCAGGTCATTATTCCCTAAGCAATGTAATGCTACAGCTATTTGCATAACATTAACTTCACAATAGATATGATAGGTAATCCTATGATGGTATAAAGTATCATGATTTAAAGTGTGTATGTTATATACAAATACAACAATTTTAGATAAGGGACTTAAACATCCAATGATTTATTATCAAAAGGAATTATGGAATCAACTCTCCATGGATACCAAGCGGTGACTGTATATATAACTTTAGATTAATAATATCTTCATTTTTCTAATGGTCCGTTGTCTGGGGATATGGCACGACTAGCTCGACTGCAGGGATGGGCAGAAATAGTTTTTTAAATTACCTATGAGTCCTCAGAGGCTTGGTCTTCAATTCTGTATCTCCTCTTTGTCTATAAAATTAGGAGATGTGAATCCCTTACCTAACCTTCAAACTCAGTATTGTCTCTAAAACAATACTAACAGTTGATTATGAGCCATTGTTGCTATGCTCCCTAAGGTGTCATTAAAGCATCTACTCTGAGCCAATGAATCTAAACCCAACGTCTAGCTTCAGGTAAACAACTTTCAGATAGAGAGGAAATAATTGACCTAATGACCTTCTAATACCCTAATGACCTTATGCTTGCGGTAAGTCATGCCTCTGTTTCATATCAGAGAGGGCATACTATTACAACCGAATGATGATGATGATGATGATGATGATAATAATAATAGCAGTAATAGCAGCAGTAGGTAGTAATAATAAATTAGTGGTTAGTTATAATTGCGATTAAAGTGACAACTCTGAAGTCACATCAAAGGGGTAGGAATCCAGGCTCATCTACTTAGTGCCCCATCATCTTAGGCAAGTTACTTAAGCTCTATGGTTCTATTTCCTCAGCTGTCCAACGGAGATAGCAATAACACTTTTCAGAGGTTTTCTGAAAATATTAAATGAATTAAAACATTAAAAATAGTTTTCTATGTATTACTGTTTTCTTAGTATCTAATGTGTAATGAGTATTTATGCTAGATGCTATTCCAAACTCTTCACACATATTGCCTAATTTTATTATCAACATTTCTTACAACCTTATATACAAACAAAAATTTTGAATATTTAATGTCATACAACTTGGCCAAGGTCAAGAAATAGATAAATGAGAGGCTGAAGTAGGTTTTGAAGCAGGTGTCCTGAGCCCACAGCTCATATTTTCTTTAGGTTATTCTGTCTCCTATCAATGGTAAGGCACTTTATAATGGTGTCATCTACTGTGGATTTACTTATAAAGTCATATTTAAGTATCTAACCTTTTGTAATTGTGCTATATAAATGACTAAGGAACAACTAAATAAAAACTGTCATCCATACAATTACTTCAGTGAAAAATATACTGCTCTTTTGCATCCTTTACTAATTTATACAAACATCACTAACAGTGTGTACATGTAAGTCAGTAAGGATCTATAATTGAAAGACACCGAAAGAGTCTGGATATTTTTAGGAGCTCAGTGATCAAGAGCAAAACTGGAAATCCAGGCTGAACTCTTTGGAGTGGACTGGACAGCTGAGGATGCCAGTGAAACTGCTGCTGAAACCAAGGGGCTGTAGTCTTTTACCCTCAGTGCTGTCCCTTCTATATGCTGAACACTAGAGCCACTCACACTGACCCTGCTGCTTCGGGAACTTGATCTCACTGCTCCAGATGTACTACTAGAATTATTACTAGAATCTTGCACTGCGTCTCTGATGGAGTCAACTCGTATGTCCTTGAAGAAAGCAACTTCCCTTTGATTTCCTATATTGGTTGGGATGAGTAGTTCCTGGAGGATCTACTTGGATTTTTTCATGAAGTAGCCCTGTTCCATGGATCTGTGAGCCAATATAGAGTACTTTTTACTATTATTGACTAATTTGTCTAAATTATGAATTTGGAAGCCTTGGAGCCCATAATATTGGAGTAAAGTCAAAATTCTACTTACAATGGATTCTTATTAAGTTTACTTTCTGATTGGCGAGTTCAGAGTATAGTCCTCTAAAGATTAGTGTAGCTCAGAAATCAGTGAACAGGCTTGTTGAAATAGAAATCCACTGTAACTGAAATCTCCAATTAATGTACTGCTGTTCGAATGTTAGACAATGTTATGATTTTTTTCTCCAGGTAACTGCTATTAAAAAAATACTGTGTTCAAAACATATATGTGACATTTCTTACATGTATGTGTGTATATATTATAATATTTAAACATATTTAAAAACTGTATTCTATTTGCATAAACATGGTGGAGCAAGGATATATCAATATAGTATTTCAACTTATTTGTATAAAAGTTGGTTATTTTATTAGATGTATTTTACTTTTATTTATTAGCATTATGTGAATTTAAAAAATCCAAGGTTATTTTATTTACAACCTAGAAATAAACCTATGGCCATTCTCTAGTACTTTCCCCAGGGCCACTTGCATCTCTTTGTTCCTTAGGCTGTAAACAATGGGGTTAAGCAGAGGGGTCAGCACCGTGTATGTCACAGCCATCAGCATGTCTTCGCTGAAGGAGTCACTGCTCTTGGGCCTCAGATAGATATAACAAGTGAAGCCATAGTGTATACACACCACAGTGAGGTGAGAGGAGCAGGTAGAGAAGGCCTTAGACCTGCCACTTGCAGAAGGCATCTTCACAACTAAAGACAGAATGAAGATGTAGGAAATCACAATTAAAATAAAGCTGCCCACTAATACAAAGGCAGAGAGCATAAAAATAGCCATTTCATGAAAGGGAGTATAATCACAAGCAAGGCTAGCCACAGGCAAGATGTCACAGAAGAAATGCTGGATAGTGTAAGAGTCACAAAAAGAGAAGTTGAATATAATGCTGACAATGGACAGTGAAACCAGGAATCCAACTATACAAGATGCTGTTATCAGTTGAAAGCAGATCTTTTTGGTCATCAGCATGGGATAATGCAGAGGATTGTAGATGGCAATGTAACGGTCATAGGACATGGCGGCTAAAATGAAGCAATTATTTCCACCTAAACCAAAGAAGAAAAACATCTGTGTAGCACACTCAGGAAGAGAAATGGTCTTGCTCTCTGATAGCAAATCCACTAACATGCGGGGAATGATTACCATAGTGGTACAGGTTTCTGAAAAGGAGAGGCCAAAGAGCAAAAAATACATGGGGGTGTGAAGGTTGTGATTGAACTTGATGGCCACCATTATGGACACATTTGCAAGTAGGATTGTCACATGGCAAGAGAAAATCACCACGAAGAGTAGATTCTCTATTTCTGGGAAACTGGAAAAGCCCCACAGAAGGAATGTGGTCACTGTGGTGTAATTGTCCATCTTCCTGGTGGCAGTATTTTACTGCCAGGTGTATATGTGCTTGACGTCAAGGCTCAGATGATTGTAAAGATGTTCTTCTGTACTGATGTCACCTGGAGTTTAATTGAGGGCTCCTGTGCAAGTGTAAGATCATTCTTAATGAACTCTCTGAATAAAGAGAGTTAAATGCCCATGGCTGTGACAGTCTGAATGAGGTAGAGAATTGTTCTGTGAGGATCAGTGTACCATAGACTGGGCCCAAATATCCTTCTTTGTACTAAAAATCTGTTCTTCATCCTGTTTTTCCTGTAGTCAGGCTCTTCACAGAAAAGAGAAAATATGAACAACATTGCTTGGTTCTCATCCAGGGAATTTTGTGAGGCCATATTTTTCAAATATATTTTGCAATTTAATGGTACAGTGGCACTCAAGATTAAATGAGTAAAACAATGCAATCATTGAAGTTATTTCAAATTAATATGACATTTAAATATTTTGGAGAAATTAGTGAAAATTTCCCAAAGAATTTTGATATGTTCCTCTGCAAAATACTATTTACATCAGATCTTCTCCTCATTGGTAACTACAAGGTGATAATTGTCAAAATGACTAGATTCTTCTTTCTTTCTTTCTTTCTTTCTTTCTATTTTTAAAAATTTATTTATTTGTGTGTGTGTGTGTGTGTGTGTGTGTGTGTGTGTGTGTATGTGTATGTGTGTGGCCAGCTCAGCCCACCAGGGGGCAGGGCTGGCTGGCATGTGGTGCTGGGGGATTGAACCGTGGTCCCAGTGCTTTAGCTAAGCTTGTTCTAAGTAGGCGCTTTAGACCACTAAGCCATCTCACCAGCCCCTTTTTTATTTCTTTTTTTTAAATTTAAAAATGACTAGATTAGATAAACAAATGTAATATGTACTTTCTACTGGCTAGAGATCCAAGATAATATTTAGTGCTTGTGATAAGCTACCTAAGTAGTTTGTGATAACCTAGTTTTATGTTAACATTTTTGAAGTTCCTGAGAATCCACTGATACTGTCTTAAACTGACTACTAAAATAGTCAAATGAATTTGAAGGTACTGTTTCATGCTAAAATGATATATTTTTGGTCATGATATACTTATGAATTTTTGATTTTTTTAGAAGAATTTCTAGGATGTTTTCTCAACGGTATACTTATTAGGTAGTTTGCTTTTCAGTATAACCTGGAAATAGTAAAATGAAATATTTTGGATCTTTTTATTAAGTCATATTTCTCCTCAGTTAGTTCATTAAACATTTGAGCCATTTGGGAGATGTGAGCAAAATGTGACATGAAGACTCTCCATCAAATTTTGATTTTAACTTCAGTCACAGTTTAAAGAAAAAAGGAGGGGGGAAGAGAGAGAAAGAGAAAGAGAGAGAGAGAGAGAGAGAGAGAGAGAGAGAGAGAGAGAGAGAGAGAGCTGCTTGAAAAATTTTCATAGGAATTCACAAAGGTTAAAGAAAAACAAGAGGAAAGACAAAACTATTTTTATTCAAAGAGTTTTCTCATGCAATTGTAATTTGGAATACAGAATATAAACAGAGAAACAAAATACAGATCAATGAAACAGAGTAGAGTAAACATATTCAACTATTTGAGTTTTGACAAAGGGACGTAAAACATACACAGAGGAAAGACAGCCTCTTTAACAAATGGGGCTGGGAAAACTGGCTACTCACCTGCACAAGACTGAATCTGACCTGAATCTCTCACCATGGACTAATCTAAAATAGAAATGAACCAAATAACATTACAACAGAATACACTGAACCTGCTGGAAGATAAAATAGGTAAAACTCTTGAAATCATGGGGACAAGAAAAGACTTTCTGAACAAACTCAGGCTGCATAGGAAATGCTACTAAGAATAAATTAATAGGATCATATCAAATTAAAAACTTTCTGCATAGTAAAAGAAACAACCAACAGAGTAAAAAGACTATGTACAGATTGGAAAAAAATTGCCAGCTATTCTTCAGACATGTGACAGATATCTAGAACATATAAAGAACTAAAGGCATGAGAGTCGTCAAAAATAAAAGACCCAATCAAAAAATGGGTAACTGAAATGAATAGATACTTCTCAAAAGTACCAATAGCCAAGAAATACATGAAGAAATAATGTTCACAATCACTGCCTATTAGAGAAATGTGAATTAAAACCACACTGAAATTTCACCTTACCCTAGAAAACATGGCTATCATCATAAAATCAAATAATAACAAGTGCTGGAGAAGATAGAGGGAGTTTAAACTAATTCAACCATTATAGAACTAAGTATAGAGTGTCAAGTAACTATAGAGAGTCCTCAAAACACCAAAATGACAAGTTCCACTGACCCAGCTATTCCCCTTCCAGGTACCTTCCTAAAGGAGTTGAATATGTTATATTATATATTACATGCTTATCCTTAGGCTTTTTCTTCTGAGGGCCTCTTAGCCTATTTACCTTCAAAGAAAAAATCTCTTTCATCCTTGTTGCTTTAGCTATCACTTACCTTGTGGTACTCTATATTCAAGCTTTATGAAAAGAGATTCAAATTTCTTCTGACAGATTCCAATGCCAGAACTCCTCTAAGTTTTTAATACAACATTTTTTTTAGAGCAAAACTGGCCATATTACCCATCCCATATTTTCCATTAAGTTATTGTAGATGTCACTGAGGTATCGTGACACTGGATGTTTTACCTTTTTCACCGTTACACTCACGTAACACTGAGTGTACAGAGTTGCAGGGGTCTGCAGTTTTTGTGCTTGACTTTAAATTCCCTGTGTTATGGGTGTGATTCTTTCCTGCAGGGCAAATATGTCACCTCCTATTGTCCATTAGCCACAAGGCTCTTAAATGTTCATTTCTTTCACCACACCATGACTAGATGCTAGATTCTTAATTCAGGGTATATTAAGTCACTAATAAGGTAAAAAATAGTGAATAACTATACTCCAGTATGAAGCTCAATGTTTTCCACACACTTACAGTGAGATAATTTAACTCAGCTTCTATCACTCATCTCTCCCTGCTCTCCATTCAAGGCATATAATGGTACCTCTTAGTTTCTAAATATCTTGATTCCTTACACTGATAGGGCTTTGCATATGGTGCTCTCTCTTCATAAGCTTCCCTTCTTCAACTCTACCACCCCTCAGGCTCTTATATGTCCTCAAGGCCTTGTGTGCTTGGTCTGTTCTTTGATCACTCATTCTTTTTCATTTTGTCCACATTTTATAGATGCTAGAATCTTAAATGAACATGTTTTCTTCATTTTACTCTATTATTCATTTAAAGTTTTGCAAAAGCCTCAAGGCTCTTGGCTCTCACTTCTATAATTCACTTAATGTGAGTATCTGTATGAAATCTGTCATGTTATATCTTTTCTTTATAGATGACTTTTGGATTGCCTTTGTTCACATGCTGAGTAATACTAATAATTTCTACTAATTATTGGACTTTTTAGGCCCTCATGCTTTCCAGGTAGGCACTGTGCCACTAAGCTAATGTCCCTGGCTCTTGGATTTTTCAGTTACACAGTCTCATATCTCTTTGTAGCTGCTATACCCTGAGAGATAAGTGGTATTGGAATTATCTTGTTTATAATGAGAAAAATATTGCATACTATATAGTAATATAGTATACTTACAGCAGCCATTGAGAGTGTGAAGAGCCACTTGTTTGGCTAGATGACTGTAATTCCCCTCTCCAGGTGGAAGGGCTTTAGCACTAGTTTAGGGTTTAATGCATCCAACCTCATTTCTTGCTGCTTATCTCCCTTATATGAGAAATATCCTATTGTTTTCAAATACTGCATGCCCTTTCCTGGTTCTACTTTGCACACAATCAGATTTTGATTAAGAACCTTTGATTTTTAATGTACTTTTCCTATTTGCAGTGTCTCTCCTGCCATTTTTTGGATGTTAAACATCTGTCTTGAGCCATTCAAACATCACTTGTCCTGGGAAGACTAAACATCCATGGTGATGTTAGTCACGTCTTCCTATACAGTCCCATTCCATTTTATTTTAATGAGATTTAAAAATGTTCTTTTTCGGAACTGGAGAGATAGCACAGTGGAATAAGTGCTTTCCTGGCAAGTGCAGAGCCCTGATTTCAATCCCTGATATTACAAAAAAAAGTTCCTTTTCACAAACTTGACTTTCATACTATACTAGGCAAAGACTTGTTTCAAAGCATCATATCCTCCAACTTGCAGAGTAAGCCTAGTGCATGTAGCTTTCTAACCAAGATTAACACAGCAATGTAGGAATAAAATGGAATTCCATATTCTCTATAAATCATTATATGATTATCAATTTAGTACATTTCATTTCTTGCCAGTACATTATTTGATAGACTTACCGTTTATTTTATCTTGATAGATACTGACTGAAGATATTTGGCTGTTCTCCAAGTGGACTTTTAAGAATCATGGTACTTAGCGATGCAAGTGCATGTGTAGTCACTTTCCACATTCTTGTGTGGAATTTGTGAATGGTGACCAAATGGTGAGCGAACAAGCAAGGTAACAAAAACTCTTCAAAACTCTAGCAGTGGCTGCATAGGTCCAGAAGAATGGAACTACTTTGCTTTCTAGGTGTTCTCCAGTCTTGTTATAGAATCAAAACACACTTGACTGAGCAAGTAGTCTTCTACTAACAGACATATCAGAATTGGTAGAAGATAGCTCTGTGGCGTAAGTGCTGATCTGGCATGCACAAGGTCCTGAGTTCAAACCCCATACGAAAAAAAAAAAAAACCCAAACAAACAAACAAATAATAACAACAAAAAACCCAACATCCCCTCCCTCAAACAATAGTAAAACCCCAACAACAACTCTTTTCTACTATCATTACAAGTTTTTTTTTTTGTAATTAGAGAGAAATCTTGGGAGCATCAGATTTTGATTAAGAACCTGTGATTTTTATTGAAGTTTTCATATCTGTTATAGTAAGTTCTGCTTTTCCACAGACTATTCAAGGACAAGAGTGGTAGAAAATAGGTCAGT